CTTTCTTCAAATGTGTTCAATATTTATTTTTCATTTGTCTTATAGCAAAAGGTTCGTTCGGTGGTCGGCAGGTAGGCTGCTCCATGTTTCTTACATACAAAAAACGTAAATAATAAAAAAAAATGAAGAATTTTGAAAATCGGTACAAATGTCAAAAAGGTTCATTCGGTGGTCTACAGGTCGGCTGATTCATGTTTCTTAAATAAAAAAAACGAAAAATAAAAGAACTGTTGAAACAATTTGAAAAATGGACAAATGCCATAAAGGTTCGTTCAGTGTTTGTCGGGTAGGCTGCTCCATTATTGAGACGTAAGTGACAAATACAAAACAAATGGAACACATTTGAAACAAAGAAAGATTGTCATAATGGAGCAGCTTACCCAACAACACTGAACGAACCTTTTGTTATAACAAATATGAAAGACAAGGGCTGCTGGCTGGGTTAGTACTGCGTGAGCAACCATTTGTGGCACACGTGCCTCTGGCTCTCAAACACCTGTCCGACACGGTGTTGAAAGACTGTGCTCAGTCGGTGCAATTCAGACCCTATTGTTTGAAGAACATAAGGGTCATACCATAGGTGAAGCTAGGCGCAATAAGGGCTTAACACAACGGTCGGATGCCAGTGATACAGCACCTATGAGGATGCTACAGCGAGCGTATCCAGTTGTAGCTCTGAGCCCCACCCTTGCCATCTCGAATTTATAAAGATGATACATAGATGAATCGTTTTCTGCGTTCAGTGATGATGCATCTGATACAAGTAGCATAGATGAACAGTGTTAGCGGCTTCCATGGTGGTGGTGTTCATTGATATTTCAAGAATACCTGAATCTCTTCCTGACTGATGGACACTCTTTGAGGCTAGCTGAATCTCTTCGTGTGTGGGACCTTACAAAGCGATCTTTTCAAGACTACCTTACAAATTGAGCTTTTCCTATAATCGTTTCAATACTACCATATGCTTTACAAGCTTGGCTACATACCACCTATAAGTACTAAAGCCAAGGGTGCACGCGAGTGCGTTATTTGCAAGCACACAGAACGATGAAACAGGAAACAAAATTTTATCTGTAGCTGGTGCAAGGAGAGCAAAGTCGCGCTGTGTACCATGGACTACTTTGTTGACTATTACGCACCTCCAAAGTACTGAGTGTGTAATACAGTGTGTTACTGTGTAAATAGTATGTGAAACTGTACATATTGTAATTTTAGTGAATTTTTACCACATAATATTGTGACAATAAACATTTATTGTGGACACATTACTGACACATGTATCACAGTTCCATGGAAATTATGAACATTCTACTGTATACACATTGTAAAGGTCACAAATATGCATCATATACGATAAAAGAAACAAATAAAACCGCATTGGAAATGCATAGAAAAAATATTTGAAAATATATTTGTGGCAACACGCGGTGCTTGAATGGCCTGCGCGACCGTGTCTGGGAGCTTCACACACGGGCGACCAGGCCCAGATGACGTCACAGCGCACCTTGTCCACGCCCTCACAGCCAAAGTAAGTGGAATTTGGTAATTATTTTTACATAGACATGTTCAGGGACGGTAATTTATCATTTTGCAAAGAAAAATGATATTTTGGGGAACATTTGATGTCATGCACACTGGGGGAATTTCGCAATAAACACAGTGCATCACACTGGTTACATGGGAGACACTCGTTTTGTATGACGTCCGTTTCACATGACGAACGTGGAACGGATTAAATTCGTTATGCGAGGTACTGCTGTATATATACATATATATATGTCGTACCTAATAGCCAGAACGCACTTCTCAGCCTACTATGCAAGGCCCGATTTGCCTAATAAGCCAAGTTTTCCTGAATTAATATATTTTCTCTAATTTTTTTCTTATGAAATGATAAAGCTACCCATTTCATTATATATGAGATCAATTTTTTTTATTGGAGTTAAAATTAACGTAGATATATGACCAAACCTAACCGACCCTCCCTAACCTAACCTAACCTATCTTTATAGGTTAGGTTAGGTTAGGTAGCAGAAAAAGTTAGGTTAGGTAGTCGAAAAACAATTCATAAAAACTTGGCTTATTAGGCAAATCGGGTCATGCATAGTAGGCTGAGAAGTGCGTTCTGGCTACTAGGTACGACATATATAATATATATATATATATATATATATATATATATATATATATATATATATATATATATATATATATATATATATCTCCTCACCACAGCTGGATGCCCAGCTGAAAGAGAGCCCCGTTACCTAACGCCCCGTAACTCTGATGCTCTTATTGGTCGCCCGGATGGTATCACAGTGAACCCCTGGAAGAATGGCAAGCAGTTGGTATGGGACTACACGTGCGTATCAACCCTGGCTAACACCTACATTAACCTCAGTGTTGCACAGCCAGGTGGCGCTGCCACCCACAGGGAAGCAGCCAAATCCCGTAAGTATAGAGAACTGGATCACCACTACAATTTTGTCCCCATTGCTTCTGAGACACTCGGCGCCTGGGGTAAAAGTGCTACCAGTTTTTTGAAGGAACTGGGTTCTAGGCTCATTGAAACAACAAGGGACCCAAGAGCTGCAAGCTTTCTTTTCCAGCGCCTCAGTGTGGCGATACAGAGGGGAAATGCGCACTGCATCCAGGGTTCCTGCCCGCCATCTGAGGAGCTGGAGGAACTCGACAACCTATGATAACCATCTTTGTAACCCATATGTAACTCCTTTTTGGTAACAAAGTTCAAATAAAGTAAATATATATGTGTACATACAAAAGAATGGGGGTGGTAGGAGAAGATAATATTAGTGTTCAGTGAGAAACCACAAAGTCTCCTCTGAATACTTTTTATTTTCTTCTCCGAGGCTATGGGTCCCCACATTGGCACCAGAGGTGGTACCCTCACAAACTTTTATATATATATATATATATATATATATATATATATATATATATATATATATATATATATATATATATATATATATATATATATATATTTTAGTATATTTTGGTAGCAGTCTTTCCTGTAGACATATATTATTAAATATGACCGAAAAAGTAAGATTAATAATTCTAACACGAATTTTCTCAATCTTTCGTACATTACGCTTCACTGTTGGAGGTAAATCAAAAATCACTTCTCCAAAATTCATTTTTATTTCTAGTCTGACGCGACACGGGCGCGTTTCGTAAAACTTATTACATTTTCAAAGACTTCACAAATACACAACTGATTAGAACTTACGTCTCTCTGATATTATATCTACATTTGAGTGAGGTGGGAAGGGTGATGTGGCATTAACACAAGACAGAACAGGAGGGGATATTAATAGGGTATAATAGGGTTTAATACCCTATTAATAGATATTAATAGGGTATTAAAAGTATCAACACAAGACAGAACAGAAACAATGGGTATTGAATAGAAGTGTTTGTAGAAAGCCTATTGGTCCATATTTCTTGATGCTTCTATATTGGAGCGGAGTCTTGAGGTGGGTAGAATATAGTTGTGCAATAATTGGCTGTTGATTGCTGGTGTTGACTTCTTGATGTGTAGTGCCTCGCAAACGTCAAGCCGCCTGCTATCGCTGTATCTATCGATGATTTCTGTGTTGTTTACTAGGATTTCTCTGGCGATGGTTTGGTTATGGGAAGAGATTATATGTTCCTTAATGGAGCCCTGTTGCTTATAAGCAACAGGGCTCCATTAAGGAACATATAATCTCTTCCCATAACCAAACCATCGCCAGAGAAATCCTAGTAAACAACACAGAAATCATCGATAGATACAGCGATAGCAGGCGGCTTGACGTTTGCGAGGCACTACACATCAAGAAGTCAACACCAGCAATCAACAGCCAATTATTGCACAACTATATTCTACCCACCTCAAGACTCCGCTCCAATATAGAAGCATCAAGAAATATGGACCAATAGGCTTTCTACAAACACTTCTATTCAATACCCATTGTTTCTGTTCTGTCTTGTGTTGATACTTTTAATACCCTATTAATATCCCCTCCTGTTCTGTCTTGTGTTAATGCCACATCACCCTTCCCACCTCACTCAAATGTAGATATAATATCAGAGAGACGTAAGTTCTAATCAGTTGTGTATTTGTGAAGTCTTTGAAAATGTAATAAGTTTTACGAAACGCGCCCGTGTCGCGTCAGACTAGAAATAAAAATGAATTTTGGAGAAGTGATTTTTTATTTACCTCCAACAGTGAAGCGTAATGTACGAAAGATTGAGAAAATTCGTGTTAGAATTATTAATCTTACTTTTTCGGTCATATTTAATAATATATATATATATATATATATATATATATATATATATATATATATATATATATATATATATATATATATTAATCTTATATATATAATATATAAATTATATATTATAATATATATAATATAATATAAATCTTATATATATAATATAATATATATATATATATATATATATATATATTATATTATATATATCTATATAATCACATTACTAGGGCAAGCACCAATACCCATGGCATTGCCTTTCAGTCTGATAACCATCTTCAAATACTCTCATCTTTCTGTCTAATTAAAAGTACCTCATCCATACCAGAAACCTCCCTTGGGCATCACCCAGGTGTTCCAGCTTCCAAAGCAGTCTTTTGTATGGAACCTCCATCAAAAACATTGTTCAAGTCAAAGAACATTCAGTCAGCTGATCCATCTCTTTCCTATATGAATCCAGTCTCAGTGCCATAAACAAAGCAGGCTTAATACACACAACCTCCCTGGTTTCAAATCAAACAGTTTATAGGTTAGCATGTTATTGTTTTCCAAGTAGTTTATCTATGCAAGCCTGATTTCTTTTTCTAATGACAGTTGGATTAGTGGGGATTAGATTGCTTGGCAATTAGTGGTTCCCAAATTTTGGGGGAACTAAAACATTCAGGGTACTTACAATTTACTGAAAATTTAATAACAAAAATTATCACTTACGTTAATAATGGTATTGGAGTCCACACAATACAGCAAGGGTAGCGATGATGTCTATGATCCATTTTTTCAATGATGATCGGACTCTCTAATGGAGAATCAGTCTCAGACATCAGACCAGAATGCTTATGTAGAAACAAAAACACCTTTACAACTGGAATAAAAATTCTAAGGTCAATATGTGCAATAATTTATTTACAGTACTTGTATTGTAATGAAATATGCATATGGTGACCCCTTTTTTGCAATTCAGAGGTGCAAACATGCCCCACATCCCCTATGGTAAGAGTTATAAGAGGCAAAATTTAAAACTTATTTGGCTAGGGACCCATCTTCTCCTCATTAAAGAGCTAAACAGCTTTGAATTCGGTACCCATACTTACCCAGGTCCCAGATATTAATGGCAGGCACCATATATCTCTACAAAAAATACTGTAGTAGTATTGCATACTGTATATTATAAATTAAACAAATTGAAAGTGGTGAAAGTTTTCATAGATGGTAATGTTGATGCATGTAAGGGAAGTAAATGGAATAAGAAACTGTGAGGATAGAAAGTAAGGTGTAGATTTATTACCGAGTAAATAGCTGTATGGTGTGATGACTATGACACAGAGTGAGACTGAAAAGGAATTTTGGAGGGATGGACTGAAAAGTGAGACGACTGACTGGATACAAAGTCACCCTGGTGGTGAGAAGTAGTAGCAACACTCACTCTGCACTTCATAATTACCTAAGTGTAGTTACAGAATGAGAGCTATGCTCCTGGTGTCCCGTCTTCCCAGTATTCTTTGGTTCTTAGGATCCTTTTTTGGACACTACTGACATTAACTCAGAACTAGCTGCTTTTTACATTAAAGAACAATAGAGTATTTGCATTAATAATATCATGGTAAATGCACCATGATACCAAGCCTTTATAAGGTTATGCCATTTGCTGATTTTAGATGGTAAAAGCACACTGTGTTAATATAAGATCTAGCAACGATTAGTTCAGACCTATCAAGCCAACTTGCCCATTCAATAAAAATGCAAAAATACTTCCTCTAATGTGAGACCATTTTTTAAAAAGTAAACAATATGCCTTTATACTTGAGCCTAACATTTCTGCCATTTAGTAGCTTCTACCTTAAAGATTTACTTATTTTTGTTTTCACTTTTTTCTTTTATTTGCAAGCTTAAGTATATCCACATTTATGCTGTCACTGTAGACTATATGAAGGATTACATAGACTATCAACAGCTAGCTATGTGATACTAAAAATCCCAATCTCACAGGATGGTTAGTCATACAGAGGCATATAATTAGCTGTCTGCACTGGCAAATTTTGGATGAATTATGAGGGGCATCTTCAAGAACACGACAATAGAGTATATAATGCAGATGATGAGTCACAATAGCATGGCTGAAGAATGTTGACCAAATCACACACTAGAAGATGAAAAGACGATGACGTTTCAGTCCGTTCTGAACCACAATCGACATGATAATGGTCCAGGACGGACCGAAACATTGTCGTCTATTCATTTTCTAGTATGTGATTTGGTCAACACAGAGTATATATAATAATAATAATAATAATAATAATAATAATACAGAAATAATAATAATAATAATACAGAAATAATAATAATAATACAGTAATAATAATAATAATATAATAATAATAATAATACAGTAATAATAATAATAATATAATAATAATAATACAGTAATAATAATAATAATATAATAATAATAATAATAATAATAATAATAATTACTTTATTCATAACAATATGCATACACAGAACAATGACATACAAATAATTGAAGATATAGGGGATGTCTCTAAAATGAAGCCACTATTATGCATAGCATTTTGGGCAAAACTTGAAGTAATTATGAGAAGAATTATTTAAAGGTATACTAGATGAGAAGTAAGTTAATGCAAGGGATATGTTCAAGAAATATAACAAATTTCTTGAACATTTGTACTGTACTGTAGAAATACTATTCATTTGTACTGGATTTGTACTTTAATATCCCGAGGACATATTAGAGGAGACGGAAGCTAAAGCCTCATATTTACAAACATCATGGGCCTGAGGGTAGACTGGAGGCTGGTTAGACTTGATGACATTGCGGACAACCCAGGGAAATGCGAGCCTTGGAACAGAGAACTAAGGAAACAGGATCAACAAATAAGGCATCCACTGAGAGAGAACCAGTGGTATGTAGATAGTGGCGAAGAGCCACCACTGGATAAATGACGCACAATCGGCCAAACCAACCAAGCATCAATCATTAAAGGACCCTTCCAGAAGCCCACCAAATCACTCTTCACCAGAAAAGGAGGAGACTGCTGCAAATGAGCAAGCTGCCCACCAGGGCCAAAAGAACAAAATCCATGCCTCTGGAGAAGAGCATAAAGCGCTCCAACCAGGCAGCTGGAGGCGAGAGTCATCAGGAAAACTACCTTAAGAAAAATATCACGCATCAAAGAGAAAACTGTAAACCAAGGCGAGGAAAGAAAATGTTAAATATGGTCAAGGGAACAGGAGGAGCAGGAGCATGAAGGTGGAAACTGCACAAGACAACTTGTGGAATGGCTCCACAGAAACCAAACACAAAACCAAACTGAATGATAAGAGGAGGAAAGATTCAGAACAAGATGCCAATAATATATTTGTATTACAGTATTTACAGTCGCTCCAACATGGAAAAATGCCTGGGTTTGTACGCCAGGCAAGAAGCACTGGAAACCAAGGCTGTTTTGGCCAGCAAGGAGCCAGAAGGATCACCCTTCCCGAGTATGACTCCAGACTGGCCAACACCCAAAGCAACAACTGAACCAGGAAAAAAAAAAAAAAGAAAAAAAAGAGCACCACTATTTCAACCAGTCCCGTTGAAAGGCATCCATCAGGAGAGCCTTGCGATCGAGGAATGAAGCCACGAAGAAAGGAAGGCGTTGGTTCCATGTCGCCGTTCCATGCAGCATGCTGATTCCATGTCTTGCACTTGCAAAGCCAACGAAGGACTCATATTGACAGACCACTCCAGGTCTGGAGACAGGCCAAAAGAGAGAGAACTCGCCTGTGAGAATGTTAGATAGGGATAGATTAGTGAGTAATATAGTGTAAGAAGAACAAGAAGGGAACATATATACAGTACTATATCTGATTTTTTAGAATATACCAACAGTTTTAGAAACTTTATTGGCTATGTGTTGTATGTGAGACCTGAAGTTAAGTCTCTTGTCAATGTACTGTATATGTCAAAGAACTCATTATGAACTATTGCAAAGTTTAATTTCCAAATATCATGTAACAATTGTTAATCATTTTCTAATTCTCTCTCTCACCATCAACACTCAAATGATATATTGTATCATACATTTAACTGTAAGTATTACTCCATTAAGATTATACAGTACTATATATTGTTTTATTAATTTTTATGTTACGCCCAAAATGCTCTGAATATTAGTGGATGAATGGATGAGGGGCCATAGGGATAACAACATTGCAAACTAGACGTAACAGGGCTAATCTCATCGAAACGTTTAAAATACTGAACAATTTAGATGATACTGATTTAGACAACTTCTTCAAAATGTCAGATGTAACACAAACAGGGAGAAACAGTTTCAAACTCAACAAGTCACAATGCAGTACTGAAAACAGATAATTTTTCACCCACAGAGTTATAAACCCCATGGAACCTCCTACCCACTGAAGCCCTAAATGCCAAAAAACTGTTAAACTTTTAAGGGAAAAGGATCCTGGTAGTACAGTTGGGTTCGTTCTTGATGCCAATTAAGAATTCTGGGTTCGAATCCCAGGCGGGACAGAAATGCTTGGCCACATTTCCTTTCACTTAATGCGCCTGTTCACCTTTCAAATTCAAATTCAAATGTTTATTTAGGTAAAGTACATACATACAAGGGGTGATACAGATATTGATGACTATATAGATAGAGCTAGTACATACAATGCCTAAAGCCACTATTACGCAAAGCGTTTCGGGCAGGAAAAACACTAAAGACTAAAACTTAATACTAATTGAGATTAAAGTATAAAATGTGTTGAAAAAATATACCTAGCAGTATCTTACCTCTAGGTTACCATGAGATGATTTTGGGTCTTAACGTCCCCGTGGTCCGGTCCTCGACCAGGCCTCCTTTTTGTTACACACCCCCAGGAAGCAGCCCATAGCAGTTGTCTAACTCCCAGGTACCTATTTACTGCCAGGTAACAGGGGCATCAGGACGAAAGAAACTCTGCCCACTTGTTTCCGTCACCACCAGGGATCAAACCCGGAACCTCAGGACTACGAATCCAAAGTGCTGTCCACTCAACTATCAGGCAGTACCTATGTAAGTAGGTACAGTACTCAAAAGTTAGTAAGCTTGTTGTGGGGTTGAATCCTGGGCGGGGGTCAGTAATTCAACCTGGGGGGGGGAGGGGAACCTCGATATAAGCCTAACATGTATGAATACACTCTGGCTTTCTATCCCAACACAATGAATTATTATTATTATTATTATCATTATTATTAAATTCCAGCTAGAAAAAATCATCAGGACAAATGGGGGGGGGGGAACCTTCAACAAGCCGCCAGCTTCCCGTCTTCATCAAGACCACTAGTGTTAGTGGCCCTCAGGTAAATTCAGGTAAATTTAGGCACTGTGCTTGTGTTACTTATGAATCCTCTACTGTTCATGTGTTGTTTTTATGTATGCATTTACTCTTAACTAAATATTATTATTATTATTATTATGGCAGTGACTTAATAATAACACATTCAAAGATGTCAGTAATGGACCAGAGTGCTGCTTGAGTCAGGAGATTATTATTGTTCTAACTGCTGACTTATGCTGAGTAATTACAGGCCAGAGGTAATTTAGGGATGCAGATCCCCCCAGGAACAGCTACCATAGGCAAGATATGAATAACTGAGTGAATAACAGTTATAAGGGAAGGGCAAGGTATGTAGGTACCTCATACCAGCAGGTCTGATGGGTCTAATGACCGGACATTTAATAATTCAGTGTAAGATCATATCCCAGTTCTTGCTCACAAAATTTTCCAAAGGAATGTTGAAGATTATGAGACTCGCCACCTTCCACTGCTAACGGTACCCAGGCCTCATCCCGACATGTATTACGTCGCACTGTCTGCTGCACGTCTTGTGCTCCCAACACATTTTACTATCACAATAAGGGTAACATTTTTCCAGGCCTTTTGTGTCTGATTTGTTATCAGACCTGATAACTAAGATTACATTGCTCCAAACATTACCTACATTTCACATAAAATACAGCAGGTGTGCTTTAAATATCCTTTAACACCCTTCCTTTAATCGTTCAAATTCTTCTTCTTTAAGACAGGAGGTGCAGATGGTCTTCCTTGTCTTCGTGAAAGGTTGATCACACCTCCTGATGACAGCCTCGAGTTGACTGTGATGTCAGCCAGTGATGTTGTGATGAGCGTCAGGTCGCTTGAACACCAGCACCAAGCATACACCGGGCGCTTACTACAGTGATCCGAATGCTCTGTAATATTTTTTCTGCGGTTGGAAGAAAACGCTCACAGAGTGGGGGACTTATTTTATTGTTATAATAATAATAATAATTAATTAATTATTAAATACAAATAATTAATTAATAATAATAATCATAATAAGTGATTAAATAATTGATAATCCTTAAATGAAGAAGCATAATAGCTCATTATAACGAATAAAGATAATTAAAGTGGATAATTAATTATGGTGACTAATAATGATTAGTGAATAACCATAAATTATTATACAGAAATTATATTAATGGATAGCCATTATAATGATAATATATTAAATCAAATACAGTGAAGTGACATCTCTAACTAGTAATTGAAAGTTGCATGATTGAATTTACGGTAATTCCAATTCTTGGTATTCTTGGCTTATCACTTTGGGGGTTCCGTCGGAGCACCCCCAATCCCGTGAGGGCCAGCAGCGCGGAACCCCCACCCCTGAAGGGCGAGCAGAAGCTGGCTGCTATAAGTAGTAACATGACTTCTCGCTACCGTGTTAGCAGTGTTCACCATTTGGTCACCATTTGGTCCGGGAGACATCTCCCGTCACGCAGGGTGCAGTTGCGCCTCCACAGATCTCCAGTATCATCTTTTGATACTGGTAATGGCTCAAAAGGGCCACCACTTATGGGCTATTCATGCCCAAGCCACCTTTTGGGTGGCTTAATCTTCTCTCTCTCTCGTGTTTGTCCACCATCTGGTCACCATTTGGTCCGGGAGACATCTCCTGTCACGCTGGGTGCAGTCGCACCTCCACAGATCTCCAGTATCATCTATTGATACTGGTGATGGCTCAAAAGGTTAACACTTACGAGCTATTCATGCCCGTGCCACCTTTTGGGTTACTTCATCTTCATCTTAACACATTCATAAAGGAGACATCTCCCGTCATGCAGGGTGCATTCGCACCTCCACAGATCTTCAGTATCAGCTCTTGATACTGGTAATGGCTTAAAAGGGCCACCACTTACGGGCTATTCATGCCCGTGCCACCTTTTGGGTGGCTTAATCTTCATCAATCAATCAATCAATCTCGCTACCGTGGCCGTAAGCGTGCCCGTATGCCCTGAGAGGCCATTAAAAAACAGTCAGGTTTCCCTGACTGAAAAAGGTACCATTCCGGGTCTACTAGGCAGATGCTGCTAACTGACGCAGCTCCCTTGGAGGGCCGATGGAGCGCCATCTTGACGAGCCATGTGGCGTAGAGGGCGGGAGAGCCCACCAACCGTGACCCTGGGAGGAGTGCATACTGCCAGGTTTGTACTCCATGCAGGGAGTGCTTTTCACCAAGGCGAATGACTGGTCGATCCCGTGTACATCGATCTTCGTCGTAGTAGCCCGCCCTCACAGAGACCAGTCCTGGAAGGCTGGCCCCAGGGCGGGTGTGGGAAAGTGAACGCTGTCCACACCGAGGCCGACTCCCCAGGGTCGACCCCGTGTCGGTCGTTGTCGCTGTGGTGAGCCCCACGGATGTGGGGCGGAGGTGGCAGCTTAGAAGCATGTAGGTCGCCTCCCAGGATACCTCTCACGGCGGGCATGAGAGCAGTGATCCGCCTTTCGGGCCCACCGCGTGTTCCTCGATCATCAATGGTTTTCCTCGTGTGCGTCCTATCGTGGTTCTGGAAGTATTAAAAGCAGTAAGGGTGGGCAGAAGCTGGCGTGCAGTGGTAACGTGAAAGGCAAAGGCACAGTTGTGGGGAACCCACCCCTAAGTGTACTGCTGGCAACTTAGGCTGCAAGAGTGGGGATAACTGGATGCGACACCTGTAGCGAAAGGTAGGAATGGGTAGAATTGAATGAAGTCGCAAGCATAACTGAGTGGGGAATAGCATAGAAGCCTAGTGATGGTACTGCCAGATACAATAAGTGCTAACTCCTGGAACAATCAGACGCCTCCTCTGCGGGAAACGATGAGAAATAGTGAATGTCAGCGTCTAGTAGTTAGTAGGCTCCAGTACGGCAATTATTAATAACAAGGCAAATTATAAGTCAATGTTAAAACACAGAGCTGACAGTGGACTGCAGGTGGCTCCAAGTGACTGCATAGAGTGCAGCGATGTCCATATCGCTATGCAGCGGGTAAATACTAAATAATGCCAACAGGCCAAGGTAAGAGGATGTTAAGTGGGCATCGAACTGCGAAACCACTTACGCTCCAACAAGACGAATTAGAACTGTAAAGAAATTATTATTAAGAATGGAGAGAAAATGCTATCTTCCCTTCTTCTCCCGTGAAAATCCTCGGCTGGGACACGCCATCTGGAGCCTCGGCAGCTGGACCATTGCAGCTGCGGCATCTTCGGTTGGACACCACTAGATATCAACTTCAGCAGCTGGGACATCCTCGGCTGGATACCTCCTTCTGGAGCCTCAGCTGCTGGATCATCGGCTGGAAGAATCAAGACGGATGAAGATAGACAGAGACTACAGGATGACCTGGTAAACTGGAGGAATGGTCTAGAAAATGGCTGCTAAAGCTCAATTCAGGAAAGTGTAAGGTAATGAAATTAGGTGAAGGGAGCAGGAGGCTGAACACAAGGTACCATCTGGGAGGTGAATTCCTGCAAGAGTCAAATAGAGAGAAAGATCTGGGGGTTGATGCTGGGGACACACCGAACCTGTCCCCAGAGGACCATATCAAAAGGATATCATCAGCGGCATATGCTAGACTGGCCAACATAAGAACTGCCTTTAGAAACTTGTGTAAGGAATCGTTCAGGATTCTGTATACCACTTATGTCAGACCAATCCTGGAGTATGCAGCTCCAGCCTGGAGTTCATACCTAGTTAAACACAGGACAAAGTTAGAGAAGATTCAGCGGTATGCCACCAGGCTCGTCCCGGAACTGAGAGGTACGGGCTACGAGGAAAGGCTAAAGGAGCTGAACCTCACATCCCTGGAAAACAGAAGAGTAAGGGGAGACATGATAACCACCTACAAAATTCTCAGGGGAATTGACAGGGTGGACAAAGACAAACTCTTCAGCACGGGTAGGACACGAACAAGGGGACACAGGTGGAAACTTAGTACCCAGATAAGCCACAGAGACGTTAGAAAGAATTTTTTCAGTGTCAGAGTAGTTAATAAATGGAATGCACTTGGCAGTGATGTGGTGGAAGCTGACTCCATACACAGTTTCAAATATAGATATGATAGAGCCCAGTAGGCTCAGGAATCTGTACACCAGTTGATTGACAGTTGAGAGACGGGACCAAAGAGACAAAGCTCAACCCCCGCAAGCACAATTAGGTGAGTACAATTAGGTAAGTAGGGGTTGCTTTTTCACCCATAAGGTTGTTAACCCATGGAATCGCCTGTCCGCCGAAGCTATAAATGCCGAGACATTACTTTACTTTAGTCCAAAACTCATTTACAGAAACATTTCAGGAACAATTGGGGGGGAGGGGGACATTTGACAAGGCGTCGGCTTCCTGTCCCCATCGTTGCCACTAAAAATATGGTGGGCTTCAGGTAAATTAATTAATTATACTTGGGTCATTAATTAGTTTGCATCAAGACATTTTAATAAACCTTGTGTATAAACGATTTTCTTTGATTATTCGGCCTGAGAGCTCTTGAATATGTATTAAATTGTTAATAGGACAAAAACTACAAAGGCCAAATTGTGAATTTATTTATCATAATTAAGTGTATATATATTTCCTTACAAGATCCCCAGATTTAATAATGATTCTTAACATAAATGTGTATGCTTTAAATTATACACTAAATGTCTGTTTTTTTATGCCGCCACCTGAACTGAAAATACAGGCTACAAATAATTCAGAGAGAGAGAGAGAGAGAGAGAGAGAGAGAGAGAGAGAGAGAGAGAGAGAGAGAGAGAGAGAGAGAGAGAGACAGACACTCAGAGAGACAGACAGAGAAAGACAGAGACAGAGTAAGATAAAAAGATTACAGAAACATAACATCTTCCTCCTAGTGTTTTTATACTCAAGAGACGAGTTAAGAAGGTTAACGTTCAAATAAGTTTGTGGTTTAAATTTTCTAATGATTTTCATAAACACAAATTTATTTTCATCAAGGCTTTTCACCACAGTTACTGTTTTATGTGCTAAAATAGGAGTCAGTGGACCAGAATGTCATTTAATATTTAATCATAATTTTATTAACGTATCTATGTATGGTAACAGTTAATACTAGAGCTTTCTGACGTTTGAGAGTCAGTGATTGTTCTTCTGACGGACCATGGAAGGTCCTCGAAGTATCGTGGCTTTACCAACACGAATTGGGACACTTGGTCTAATACCAATAAAATGAAGAGAATATTTATTACTGTTTACCCTCATGTGATCTTATTTTCTATAATTTTAATCAAAATCCTAAATTATAGAATTGTATTTTAAAAGCCATTTCTTTTACAGATAGATAATATAGCCTTTTATATTCTTTTATAATAGAAACAAATCCGTTTAGATATATTCGTCACTGAGCTGGCCGTCACTTTAAGAGCCGGTGGGTCTGGCTAGTAACTGGCAACCCGTTCTCGCACTTACACTACACTCTTACACTCTATATTGACTTATTAAATACCTGCATATGTGACATACTAAACATACTAGTTTACCTTGAAAAGCTTCATAGAAAACACCGACCTTACCTAACCTTCTTAGTATATTAAGATAAGCATCTTATTGCTTCGTAATTACAATTATTACTTAACCTATACCTATAATAGGTTAGGTAATAATTGTAATTACGAAGCAATAAGATGCTTGTCTTAACATACTAAGAAGGTTAGGTAAGGTCGATGTTTTCTATGAAGCTTTTCAAGGTAAAGTAGTATGTTTAGTATGTCACATATGCACGTATTTAATAAGTCAATATTGACTGTAAGAAAGTGCGAGAACGGGTTGTAACTGGACGAGTGACCGCACGCTCACAATCTGACGCTTTGCGAGGGACGCATGGAAATGCATTTCGTGGTGTC